TTCTCTGTAAACGGATATATTATAACTATTATACATCATGTGTATCAGTCATTCTGCGTTTCAACAAGCTTACTGACGTGTTACAATGAGCGCTTCAGACAAAGATATTGCTTGTACTACAAATAAGACTAATAAACTTCCTTTGATATTAAACGGAAAATTCTTTAGTGTTGAACAAAGTGCACCATATAAAAAATACTCTAATATAAGTGCAAAATGTGTTACGTGTAACAAAGAAATCAGAGGAACTTTATGCTCCACATCAAATTTTCTATTACATTTGAAAACTAAACATTCATGTCTCTTACAAGAATATTATCAATTAAAGGAATTAACGTATGAAAACCTGTTATAAAAAAAACGTAGATATTCTCGAACTAAAAATTTGCCACCTCAAGAACTGGCAGATGTTCTGGTGACTAATTTTATTGTCGGGACTGGTAAACCATTGAGAACAGTTGAAGAATCCGAGTTCATTAAGCTAGTTTCGGAATTAAGCAAATTGAAAGAGAGAGTGCCTGTACATTGTTTAAGCCGAAAAACATTATCTATACGTATAAACACCGAATTTGAAACATTAATGTCAAATATCAAAAACGAATTATCAAAAGCAGATTACGTACAACAGCAGAAATATGGTCTACACTCAGACGAAGTTATCTGGGTGTAACAGCACATTGGATAAGTCCGCAAACTTTTAATCGGGAAAGTAAGGCTATCGTTTGCAGTCGATTTGAAGGCAGCAATAATTATATTTCTATTGCCAAAAAGTTATCCAGCATACATAGAACATACGGTTTAAACGTAAGTAAAATAACATGTACAATTACTGACAATGGCAGTAATTTTCTCAAGGCTTTCAAAGAGTTTAATTATTATGGCAATATAACAAATGATGAAAATGAAGAATTAGTACACTGTAACGATGAAGATATTATTTATTTTAACAACTGTAGCGACATTCTTCACTTGAATGAAAATGAAACTTTGACAGTTGAAGATTATTATAATTTACCCAAACGTTATCAGTGGTGTTCGCATACGCTTAGTTTGCAATTGATTAAATTGAATACATCATATGGGAAATGTCACGTTTCTGTGATGAATAAATGTTCTAATCTATGGAATAAAACAAACCGATCAGCTAATAAAGCAAGTAAAGAATATAAAAATATTGTTGGTCGAGCATTCTGTACACCATGCATTACAAGATGGAATTCTTATCATGATAGCTTTTCAGAACTATTAAGAATTCAAGAATTACTTCTAAATATTTGTCAAAAACTAGAAATATCACATTTTAACACGCAAGATCTGCAATTTTTAGAAGAATATAAGAATTGCACAGAGCCGATAGCATATTGTTTAAATATGCTACAAAGTGAAAAAGAGATCTTCTTTGGAGATATTTTGCCTTGGATACATGAAGTAAAGCATAATTTAGAATGCGTTAATCAAAATAAGACATTAAAGTATTGTGAACCATTAAAAGAATATCTCTTGAAACGCTTGTACGATCGCTTTCGTAATATATTTGAAATGAATGATGATGCCGAAGATTACATTATAGCAACAATATGTCATCCAAAATAGAAATTTCGTTGGTTATCTCAAAATCAAGAAAATAGTAAGTTACCATTTATTAAAAACAAAATAATAAAATTAATGGAACGTGCAGAAGATAGAAGTAACCTTACGAACGTATCCGATCCTTATGTTACCAATCAAGAACGACAATTTTTTAATTTTTTCGATATTCCATCTACATCTTGTTTTAGAAGTAATAGTGTGCATTCAGCCAAAATGAAACTACTTCAATATCTCATGATAACAATATATCACTTCAAAGTCTTAAGAAATATCCTACAATTACAAATTTATTTCTAAAATACAATACCGGAATACCATCCTCTGCACCTGTGGAACGTTTATTTAGTTTTGCACGGCTAATAGTAACCTCATCGAAACTTTTTAAACAATAGTATGTTTGAAAAATGTGTTTTGTTTAAGGCAAATAAACTGAATCAGTAACTTGTGTTACTTTTGTGTAATATTTTCAGTTGATTATAAACAAAAAAATGTATTATGTTATTGATAAAAATATATCAAATATAATATGTATTATAAAATGTTGAAGTTAAAAAATTATTTACAATATTATTATTTAAAATACTATTATTTGAAATAATACTTTCTTATAGTTATATAAAATACTTACGTCACAATAGTATTTCTATAAGTTAATATTAAACTACATATTTGAAGTACTATTTCTTTACGTAACAACTATTTCAAAGAAGAATTTATTTGTCAAAGTTTGTATCACTCAAAGAAATAAAAATATTTACTTCTATTTACCTAGTTCAAACATCTATTTTCCCCAACCCTGACAATATAACACGCGCCGTTACGTTAATTGACTAATTGAGTTATTGAAGTTGTAGCAAACAAAAACAAAAAATTTAAGACATTGAAAATTGTGCCTTAAAAATGAAACACACACTAGAATATCAAAGATTGCCTTCAAAAGCGTAAATTCGTTGAAAAATCCACAAATCACCTTGGCACATATTCCGAGAAAAATTTTTTCAGTCTATATTAACTGATCCATAAGTTTAACTAACCTAACCTAATTATAGGTTTGTTAAATTTAACTGTAAACTCTTATACCATAACCACTGACCTATAATATGGAACGCGCTTTGCCATTGTGCAAGCTGTCCGCAACAGAGAACATTACAACTAGGATCTCTGTCTTTGTTTCGTCGCTGATTGAGTGAAATTTATACGAGTACAGTCCAAGACAAAAGAACAACGAAAAGTAAAGAATGACTGCGTTAGCAATTGCTAAGTGCTGATTTCTGCTGAACGCAGTCATTCTTTACTTTTCGTTGTTCTTTTGTCTTGGATTGTACTTGTATAAATTTCAACCAATCAGCGACGACGAGATAAAGACAGAAATCCTAGTTGTGATGCTCTCTATCGCGGACAGCTCGCACAATGGCAAGGCGCGTTCCATATTATAGTTCAGTGACCATAACTTACCACGAAATCCATGCGGCTACAATTTTCAAACCCAATTTTATTAACAATTAGTGATAAATCGAGATTACTCTCAGGCTCTATAAGTCTTTTCTCCAATTTTATTAGTTATGACGTAAGAAAGCATAATTTAAATATGATTGCAATGTAAAACTGGAAAGAAATAAGTCGACTTCAATCGGTGAACTTTGCGCCGTTTACTTAAAACCATTGACGTGTGTAGATTGATATTTTAGACATGTTAGTCAATATAAGATGTGTGTGCCGCACATTTGAAAAAAAAAAATAAATTTTTATAAAAGTTAAAACTAACAATTGATTTGCCCATATAAGAGCTTGATTTCTGAAGAAGTTCTATTGATGTTTTAGTAGAAACATCAAAAATAATCATAAAAGTTTTAATCAGTGCATGTAGCAGCTTGCGCCGAAGCATGTACAAAAAACACTAATTGCATTTCTTTCAAAATGCGTTTTTCGTGTAAGAGAACCACTGTAAAACGTATACTTGACCGATTCTAAAAATTCAAATAGCATTCAATTTGTGATTACACTTGTTTTTGCCTTAACCAGTATGAAATTTCACATATTCAATTTTTTAGTGGACATTCTTGTGCGTAAAAGAATCACGTTTTCAGCACCAATTTGTTTAAGCATATGCCAATTATTGTCTAATATTTTTGTATATTAAAAATGGATAAGGCGAAAGTCATACATTATACCAAAAAAACTTTTTCTTTCATTTCTTGAGTTTAGATAATCCTGTCACAAAATCTGATAGCGCCCATCAAATACTCTGATTTTGATAGCAATGTAGTATCCGAGACATATTAAGGCACAAGTGCAAAGAACTAACTTAAAAAAATTTGTTATACTCTATAATTATACTACAATAAAACTCAAAAACTTTTATTATTTTATAATGTTTACTTTTCTCAAAAAACATCATAAACATTACCTATTTTGGTCATGATTTTACCGAAAAGTGCGTCTTTAATAAAACGTTAAAATCGTTTTTTCTATCTATACACAGAATATAAATATCTACTATAATCTTGATTAACTCTAATTCTGTAACTTTTTTTGAGGTATGTATTTTGTATACCTAGACATTTATGTCTGACGAATTTTTTTTCTTGTTATTAAAACGTTGCAAAACTTGTGTAAAACTTCATAAGACATTATTCAACATTTTATATATATATATTAAGAACATAAATAGTTTTGATATATATTTTTCTTTTTGTTAGGATTTTTTCTATTAAGTAGTTAATAAGATATTTCAGTTTCAAGAATCGTTCGAACACTTATGTCCACGGTTTATAGGATTAAGAATAATTATTATAGAACTTTTTAAAAAAAATATGTCATATGTAGAGTAAATTATTATATATCCATTTAATAACGTAAAATAAGAAAAAAGGTTTAGGTAGATTTTACTAAAGTACTTGATAAGATATAAAAAAATTAATTGATTTCAATATAAGTTAAGAAAAAATTTATATGATTTTTTGTTCTCTCTCTCTCTCTCTCTCTCTCTTGGCATTATACGTTGTTATAATTCAATAAGTATTCAAGAGGCATAACAAAATTTGAGTTTGTGACGTAATATTGTGACGTAATATTGTGACGTAATATTGTTTAGTTTGTACAATCTTTTATTAGAAAATAGTAATCACACATTTAAAGTTTTAAATTGTTTCATTTGCAATTTATTTTGCAACATATAGTTTCAACGTTCATTTTATATGTTTGTATTATATTTTATATGTCTGTATTATATATAATTGTAACTGATAAGTAAATTTTTATTAATTTAGACTTGATATTATATCTGTTACTTGTGATTTCTTTGTTTGCTTTATTTAACAGTTGTTTTGTTATTTATTAAATTTGTGTTGTTATTAATATAAGAAGAAAGACATTATTTATATCAATTAAAACTAAAATCTATTAATCACCTAATTTCCATCGACGATTGTCATCTGTAACTAGATCCACTTTATTTAATAGATTGTTCTTGAGCTCTTCCACATTGTTAGAGTCCGGAAATCTACCAGCAATACCAGAGATAACAATCTCTTCACCAAGCGCAGGCGCTTTGTAACATCTCTTACTAGGTGATATATTTGCAGACATTTTCTTTACGACCTTCTAGCTTTTTCAAGACACACTTCTATTCGTTTGTTATCAAAGTATTATTTCACTACTCACGCATAAACCTCAACGAGCGCGCCAATTGATACTGTAAACTGCAAGTCACGACTGAGGGAACAAGATAGCGAGTTACACCTTTTTATAACTAACAAAATCCCTACCTCTTATGGTAGGAATTGTACTGTTGCTACTTTGAACTTCCTTTAAATTTATTTGCATTTTAAATCATATCACGCATTGAATTTTAAGTAATGCTCATTATGCTTTCCTTGCGAATAATTTTTGTAAGTAATCACTAAAGTTTTATTATTAATATATATTATGTTTAATAAAAAATAAAGCACATTGGAAATTATGTCTTATTGTTCACATATTATTATATTATTATTATATTATATTATTTGTTAGAAGCTTTGTAAATAAAAAAAAAATCACAGCATTTTAAATATTTTTCAAGGTCAAGAACAAGAAAGTATATTTAGAAAATAACAATTTTTGTTGATTATATTATAATAGCTTTACTAACTAAAACTGTTTTAAAAGATTCTGTACACAACTTTCTAGAACTGACGAATTTATAAAAAATTATTTGCAACAACCTGATACCTGTAAATATCGTTAAACTGTACTGAAATTGTAATCAAGTTTTTCTTAAACAAATATTTTTTAAAACAATAGATTTTCTAATTCTTTTTGCAATCCTTTAGTTAACTTCAAATTTTACATGTATACTCTTTATATTGTATAATTCTCTTCTTTCTACATAGAAGTTTTCCGATCTTTGTTATAATTCTTTTTTGCTACCTAGCGTATAGTGTATCCGTATTTTTGTTTAAACTACAAAAACATTATTGACAGTTTCTTTAAATTATTAGCAATCGCATATTATCTAGTATAACAGAGAATAACTAACTTACTTAACAAAAAGCACCTGATAAATTCGGTTTATTATATCTCTATGATTATCATACTGTTCTAACTTGCAACACAAATGTGTTTTTTTATAGAGTTTTAACTATTTATGAATAACGTCGTCTTTTTTAAACAGTTTTTTATAAGTTTTTTAAATGGTTGACTAAGTAAGTACATCATTTGTTGCTATATTTAAACGTAAGTATAAGTACATCATTTGTGTGTGTTGCTATATTTAAACGTGATTTTTATTTATTAGTACTTTTTGGAAAAACGTTTAGTCATTTTTCTGATTCCTTATCTAATCCTAATCGCTGAAAAACAATATCACCTGTAGTACTTACACACACACAGTGTTGCGCTTAGATAATTTGAAATAATCTAGATACAGATTAGATAAAACATACGTATGTATCTCAGATCAAATAAAGATAATCCGATTTGATCATATCTAGATAAAAGATGATTTAGTTGAGATTTTTATCTAGATAATTTTAAGATATTAAAAAAGTTAGGAAATTAAATAATACATCTCAAGAAAATCTATAGAAAATAAGCATATATTTTGATATACATTATATTTAATATAATATAATTTGAGTATAATAAGCATATTATAAGTATGTAATAAGTAAATTACATTTATTCTATATATAAGGTTAATGCCCAGATAACCAAGACTGAGTAATCATATTTTGCAAAGTCTGCAATAACACATTATGCCAGTACAATGTAGCCAGCATTCAAACATAATCTGTTATTTCAACTAGTGTCGACAAAAAAACAGAAAAAAATAAATAAATATGTCATGCCGTAATGCAAATATTATTGCATCAATCAAGCAGAACTTGCTCAAAAAATATAGCAGATTTGAAGCATAACGTGCTATTGTCATTTCATTCTTCATTTATTTCTATATTTTTGCTGTGTTGTTTTCTTTACGTATTGTGTCTACATAATTCACTCACTATGATGACACAGCTGAGTGGAATCTGCTGCAAAGTGCTGATTAAACCTGCGTGCATACTGCTGGCATACTGCTATCATTTGGCTATCGGGGTGTAAATATATTATAAGGTTTTAGTTTTTAAAAACAATAGTTTTTCAAATGTGCTATTGGATAAACGATTTCTTCGAGGTACAATTATTTGTTATCCTTTACTGAAAAGTCACATTCAGAGTGCGTACTCATTATCTTAGATAATTTACAAAAGATACTACTTTTTTTTATCTGANATACAGATAAAGATGTCATATATTTTAATTATTTAGATAAAGATAAAATAAAACTATTATCACATCTAGATAATTTTATCTAGATAACGGAAAACACTGCACACACACACATATACACATGCGCGTGCGTACGTACGTATATACATACATACATACATACATATATACACATACATACATATAGAGAAAGTAAGCAATATGGATCCTTATTTTGTACAATACCTTTAAATAATTAATATATTATGTGATTACAACTGAACATTACATTTTTTAAACTGTTTAATAAATTCTAGACTCAAAGTTACAAAAGTATAACTTAGTTAAAACGTTATTTATACAGATGTAACGACACTGCATAATGAGTCAAACAAGAAAAGTGTTAGCAATATAGATTTTATCCTATTAATAGGATAATAAGGAGAATAAGTTAAAAATCTGTTTTATTTACATATTATTTTAAAAAAATAATATGTAATAGTGCAAAATTATATCTTTATTTAAAAAAGCAAACTTATCAAAAGATTTTAATAAATAAATTTTAATAAAAAAAATTTTGAGCTTAATATATATTTTTTATATCAACTTTTTATTATTTTAATCGTTTTACAAAAAATTAATTTGCAAACATTGTAAACGTACAAAAACATTTTTGTCTGCTCTGGAATAAGCAATATATACTTAGATTTTACTCGTTAAACAATCTTATATAGGATTTGTATTAACATTATTTATAAATTGCTTTAATCTTACGTTATTTTAAATGTGTAACTGCGAATGAAATATTTACTAACGGATAAAACACTTTAATGTATATATAATGTATGTATAATATCTATGTGATAATGAGACAAACTTTAAAAACATGCTTATACGTAAATTTTGCATTGTGACATAGATATTGCTAGATATTGTTAATTACATGTTAGCATGGCACACTGCGCGACGCCAGACAACTAAATTAATGATTCTGTAAGTGATAACTAAAGATTGCCATTTATTAGTGCAAAACTATTATGTTAGATAAGAGCTTGTTACTTACAGAATCTGTTATTACTTTCTTTCTCTTATACATATATAAAATATACGTATAATATATTATATTATATTTTTTATATAAATATATAAATATATTTACATATGCATAGACACAAAATGAGTCAATAACTACAACCATCTAAATTAACTTGTTATTAATTGATTTTTTTTTTTAAACTTTTATATATAAATGTGGGTTGATGAGATTTATCAACCAGAAACATTAACTTTTTTAACATTTAATTTCTATATGTTTAATATTTTTTTATATATCAAGAAGATTTCGTAAGTATTAAATAATACTGCATATTCAATTGTAATTGTTTAAATTTTAATCGTCGTTCGTTGTTTATAACTACAAAGTTATTATCAAAGATAATTAACTATATTTCAAACGCAAAAGAAAAATTATAGTTAATATTTATTAAAATATATACAACTAATTTTAAAATAACAGAAATTTTAAGTAAGGTGAATGGTAACTACTTTTTTTCTTCTGTGATATTGAGTTGCTTGAAGATTCTTTTATATAATTACACTATTAACTTCCCTCATAATAAAATCGGTTAAAAACAGAAAATAGCAGCAATTATGCGCAAAAATATACAATTGCTCATTCTATCAAAATACTTTTTTATTCTATTTACTAGGACCGTCTGTTCCCGTTTTAATAGAGTCGCAGAACATAAATATAACATCTTATTTACAAAACTTTTAAATGATTTTAAAATAATTTTCAGAAATTACGAAAGTTTTTACACTTTTACATTAGTTTTACATTAGTGTTTATACTTTTATATTAAGCATAAGAAATTCTGAAGAAGTCTTGCTTGTAGTTCCTGCTATCTAGCAATCATTTTGAACTTATAAGACACGCTACACGCATACACACATTTACATATACATGTATACTACATACATATACATCAATGTACGTATGTACTCACAATGCAAAATTAAAATCGAAAAAGTATAAATATTTTAATTAAATACTTATATTATATCAATTAGACTATTGATCAATGATATTGACGTGGATACAATGTATCACACATCATTAAAATAAATACTAATAAAAATATAAATCTACCTTAGAAATTCTATAATAGATAGCTGTGATTATTTGCTAGAAAGAGATGATGAGCATTACTGAAAACCAGTATTTAAAATTCACTATGATATGCGCGTTTGAAATTGCAAATAAGTGTTTTATACATATAGAAGAGGAAGTTCAAAGTATAACAAAAATACAATTCATATACCGTAAGAGGTTGAAATGTTCATAAAAACAAAACCGTTTTTAGATATTATTATGTTTTTCAACAATTAAAAAAATTTTTTTACTGGGAAAATATCATTGATTATATTAAATAACTATTCCAATCAATCAAATCAATTAAATGTTTTATCACTATTTTCTGCAGCCTAATAACGATCACTTTTATTATAAACAAACGTTCATTTTTCATTCATTCAAGTGTCGGATATTTCTGACTTGAGAATCTTTCTACTAAATATCAACGATTGGTCAATCTCGAGCAGATTTAGCACTTCTCTTTAAAGTCAAAAGGTCACCTAACCCTGAGATGAACTCGGTTATAACAGTTTCATCAAATCATCAACGATCTTAAAAGCAAGTTCACACATTATTAAAAGTCACAAAAATAAACAAAATCAAACTTTGTTATCTTTTATAGTAAAATTTCTTCGCTTTCAACACCTTGTTGATTTTGTAGGCAATTACATGATTTAAAAAACTGTACTATAAATTGTATAACTATAAAAAGTTTAATATTTTTGAACATAAAAAATGGCTATTGCGCACTCAGTAAAAAGTACAAAAACAAAACCAAGAGAATTACATTACAAATAAAAACAGATGAATTATCAAATGTAACATCTACTCACACAGATAAT